GCCGCAGGAGCAGAGGAGCGAGCGCAGCAGCAGGAGGAAGGCAGAGCTGGGGACTGGCATGCCAAGAAACCTCCAGCCAAGAAGAAGAAGAAGAAGAAGATGATCAGCCTGCAGGCAGTGCTGGCCGGGAAGCCCCAGGAGGTTCCATGCCCCAACCTCCCCGTGGTCGTGGAGGAGGAGGTGAGGACGGGGCTGCCCTCGCTCCCGGGGGTGGGCTGCAGGGGACTGACTCTCCTCTCTGCAGGAGGGGGGCATCGACCAAAGAGGGGCCATCACAGAGGCCTTTGCTGGGGACGACGTGGTCGCTGATTTCCGCCGGGAGAAGCGCAAGGCAGAGCAGGATGCGAAGCCGCTGGTGCTGCCGGGCTGGGGCGAGTGGGGAGGCACGGGACTGAAGCCCAGCGCCAAGAAAATAAAACGGTACGTGTGGACGAGCTGCAGCAACGTCCCCCAGCCTGGCGCCAGGCCCTGACCTCCTCGCTTGCCCGGCAGGTTCCTCCTCAAGCCACCCCCAGCGCCTCCCAGGAAGGACCAGCACTTGCCCCACGTCATCCTCAGCGAGCGGCGCAACATCTACGCGGCAGCGCATCAGGTGGGTGATGCCCGGCCCCTGCGAGCGCTCCAGTACCCAGGCTGGCCCAAAACCTTCCCGCCACGCATTCCCAGAATGTCCCGAATCCCTGCCCGGCCACATTGTTTCCAGTTTTGACAACCCAGAGGCTGGGGGGGTGATGGAAGGAGGAGGAATTCCCGGGGCTGCTCCCTTGGCAGCTGGTGCTGCTGTGCCAGTGCTCCTGGGATCTGCTGGAAGAGGGGATGGAGTGGGGCGGGAGGCTGGAAGCACGGCGTGAGCGGGTCCCGGAGGAGTGGGAATGGGCAGTGTGGGGGTTATCCCGCTGTGCCGTGTCCCCGTGGGGGTTACCCTGCTGTGCCATCCCTGCAGGTCAGTGAGCTGCCCTTCCCTTTCGAGAGGCACGAGCAGTTTGAGCAGAGCATCCGCATGCCCGTGGGCACCACGTGGAACACGCAGCGAGCCTTCCAGAAGCTGACGGCCCCGCGTGTCGT